TGAAACTGTTGAAACACAACACCAACCACCTCACTGCTTGCATTCACTGTTTGGTCTCCATAAACATTCAGCAAGTGTCAGCAAATGTCAATGGTACAGTTTTTTTCTGCATGGAGCATGGAGGTATTCAATTCCACATCTTTGCCTGATATACACTTCCACATCAGATGACACTTTGTCAGATTGCCCCTTTGCTGCCATCGATTGTATGGCAAAAAAAAAATGGAACAGAATATTGGTGAGAATGTTCAGCCTTTACTTTCATATCACCGATATCCACCTCTGATATTGTGGGCAAACATAATAAAACAAGGAGGCATTACTTTTGGAGCAGCCCTCATAGACTGGGAAAACTTAAATATACCCATAAAGACATCAGCAAAGATCAGTGGCAAATGACCTTCACTGCAAAAATCATGAAAGGTGATCAAAGTATTATGCATTCATACAAAAAAAATCAACATAAAAATCCTTGTGTAACGCTAATAACGAGGATCCAGTGCCTGGTCATTTAACCAGTGAAATGAGCTACTGATCCTTGCCTACAGTTAAAAGAAATTACTACTGCTACCTTCCTGCCCACAACTAAACAGGGGACTGAGCTCCAGCTTCCTTCCTCACTTTCCATGTGTTCTTCAGGAGAACTAAAGTGTCCTGAGTGTTAAGGTCCTGCAGAAGCATACAATGATGTATTTACTGCATTCAAATTTATTTGGAAAAGCAGCAGCCTTGCATATTTGTGCTGTATCACCTATCAGCAGGCTAAGGAGGGCCAAATCCTGAGAGGGTTGAGCCAGTCAAGATAGATCAGTGAACATCAGTTGAAAGCACAGACATTGTTTGGCATATATCTTACACTGCCAGGAGAAGCAGTCAGTGAGCAATGCAGTGCTTGACCTGTCAGCATGATACAGAGCATTTACATAGCTTTTTACAAACATTAACAGATTAATCCTCATCTTGGGACACACAAGCAAGGTTCAGTGGCCCCGCTGAACAGATCTGGAAGCTGAATCACACAGTGATTGTAACCTGATTTCTGGGAGAACTCAGCATCTTTACATGTTATATAAGCAGAATAAGGGATGAGATATTGCACTTCCAGACTGGGGAGACGTAGGTGTGAAGCAGATAGCAGCATCAGTCCAGCCATGTGCATCTGCAGAGAGCTGGGCGACAATCTGAAGGGCAGATTTTCTGGCTCCTAAATTCACTCCAGCTGTGACAGTACCCAGTAGGATGGTAGTGCTCACCCCAGCAGGGTGGACACATGCTCGTGTGCAATGCACTGTGGAAAAGTCCTACCTTGTTGCAAATCTCTTATGAAATCAACTATCCATAGCATCTTACTTCATTGCATGACAGTAGTTTCTATTTCTCAGTGCAGAAGCAGCTATCCTGTGCTAATGCTCGTGTGAAAGTTGAGTCCTATGCACAGATCTTGGACTTAGCAGTGGGGAGTAGAGAGGATCTATAACAGATACAGGCTTCAAAACCATACTGGCAGAGCTTGTAAACCAAGGCAGAAAGTGAGACATGGCAGTGGCTGGCAAGGAGCACTGTCTATTTTATTTAGCCTCCCAGGAGACATCATATTTGCACTCATCACTTATACAGTTGAGGGACCTGTTCTTAGCAGTGCCACCCAAGGCTGAGGAATACTCCACTGTAAATCACAGGGGAGCAAAGATCAGGATCTTAGGGGATCCTCTCTTAAAGCAAAGATCCTCTCTTAGGGGAGCACAACAGACAACATAATCACAGTTGTGCTGAACTTGCAGGTGGGATGGATGCACGACCACAAGAGAGAGAGGCTCAGCTCATACATACTTGCAATGGACAGATGTATCCAGATACACTGTCATGGGTATTAGGGATATGTGCCTGCATGGGCTGAGGTAGACACAGGAAGGGCCAATGGAGGATGAGTCTGGACAGGTTCCTGATGAGGATGTGTGAGCAAGGAGTGTATGCCATTGGATTCTTAAGATACATGGTAACCCATGCAACTTTATAAAAACACTTGGCATTTACCACTAAAGAACTGATGTCAAGAAGGTTGTCCTTGTCTTACAAAGGAAATTGCTTATTGATTCTATTTGCATCAGCTACTAATCCCCTGCTTAACCTGCAGGGATCAAGAAAGACTCTTTCCCTCTTCATGCAAAACTTGATTTCTGCAGGTGAACTGCATCTCCAGGTGAGGCTCCAGAGAAGGGCCATGAGTGGGAACGAGGAGCAAAGCAGAGTGCAGTGCAGTTTCTGATGCTAAAATCTCTCTGATATCCAACTGATGTGCCTTCTGCACATACTCATATATACACTGAAATCCAGGTTAGAAACTGGAAAGGAATCTGATTGTAGGGTCTTCTTTATAATATCTGTCATGTCTGCTTTATTAATATTACTATTGTTTATAAGAGCATGAAGCTTTAACGATGCTTTTCATCTATCTCCTCTGCAGAAACATTGCATATGTAACTTCTGGTCTTTTACTAGCTTTCTAAAATTCAATGAGTAGGATTGGAATTATTTTGTATTGAGCATGCACGGATGGAGCAGATGGGTCTTTGTGCATTAAACATCTTTTGCATTGATTTTGGGGCTGGAGTTGAGAAACCACTAGAGCCAAAGATTCCAGCAATCCCTTACAATTCATTAAGAAAGTGCAAGGAAAGATGCAAGACCTGAGGAATCACAGTCATGAGTCAAAGTAATGGACCAACTTTCCTCAGCAGACTCATATATAATAGTGCTATTAAAACCATAATAAAAAGGAAGGAACATCGGATTTTTCCACACTCAGGATGCTCTCAGTGATATGACACATTAAAACACCCTGAGCATTGTAGGAAGTCATGTCAGAAACACTGTTCCCTTTATAATATGCATTGAGTTAACAATACCTTGGGGTGGCTCCAGCATAATATAGATTGTTGCACATTTTCATAACAGTGTTTTGAGGAATCAGAGAAAACATCCAGCTATGCTAAACTCCAGAGCACTTTGATGTAACAAAAACCAACTGCTACTTAATCAAAATACAGGAACCCAGCATAAACAGAAATGACATTGGCAGAATGAATGGCTCTTCCAAGGGAAATCTTGGAATTCCAACTTTGATAAATACAGATATACAGCACAGAAACAGTATATGCTAAGTGTCATAGAGGTCATCCATTAAAAAGAACTTTTACAAATACTTTAAAATCTCTTCCAAAATCCTGTCTTTTACTAAGTATTTTACTGATTCTATAGTCAGTTTTTTGTTGTTGTTGTTTTGCTATGAATATCTGAACCAAAACTTTTCAACCAATTTTTGCTTTTGATGTAAAGTAAAAAACAAATCCCAACAATACACAGGCCACAGAATTCAACAAAAAGCCTTGTCATCTATTTTCTGAATTGAACAGCTTAAATGACTTGGTTTTAAAGCATTGAATTGGCCTTCCCTAAAGGAACTTTCTGATGCTCTTAACATATTTCTGTATCACCTCTCTTTGCACAGTATTGTTAGATTTTGGCACATGTCAAAGTGAAGTCCTTATTTCTCTTAACTACAACATGGTATTACCTGAAGTAGAATGAGATGATTTTCAATATCCTATGTTATTTATTGTAAAGTGATGAGTCCCAAATTTTTAGAAGTCAGAGGTTGAAGATATGCACTTCAATAATTTCCATATTGAACAAGTAACTGACTATGCAAAGACTGTTTTCTAGTCAGACCACTGCTTGCTGTCTAGCTTAAATAAGGAAGGGACAGGCACTGCCCCATTCTTTGTCTCAGAAAGAGCTGCAATAGACATTCTTGACTCAATTTGCAATCAAATTGCATCAATATCTACTGATCCCTTTAGCTTATCAACTTTTCTCACCAAGCCTCTTCTTTTTGAGGATCTTATTTTGAATAAAAATTGTATATATGAGCATCTCTAATGTTTCTTAGCCAGCTAAAATCCACCTTTCCTGTCAATGTTCAAAAATTACCTTATCATAATCATTAGATTTATTTTCCTCATCTATTAATATTGCAGGAAATGTGTAAACACTGTAAACACCATGCTTATATCCTAACAAGTATTTGGATCCTCTGTCATTTAAAAAAGAATTATGGTACATGTGAAAAGTTCTTAAAGATCTGTGTGTTTGAACTTAAAACACGTTTATATAGTTCAATATCCAAATCAAAATGCAAAACATTTCTGTCCTGAATGGGAGCGCCTTTCAGAATCTCTTTTATTGTATTTGCAGATAAGAATGAGAGCTAAGGTTGGCTGGGGATGCTGTCCCTGTGGACCGTTGCTGCTGATGATAAGGGAATGCAGGTGCTCCTCCTGGCTGCCCTGTATCTCATTCATTTACCAATAGTCCTCAAAGCTATCATTAAATCCAGGCAGCATAAACAAATACACACACATGTACACACCCTAGTATACATGGGGTGTTTAGGACATTACTATTTAGAATTTGCTGTTTAATTTAGGATGCATTTCCCCCAAGTAGTAAACCAATTACATAATTAAAGGTTACATTCAAACAGAACAGCTCAGGAGAGAAAAAATAATTTTTTAGGACAACTGTCTCGCACTGGAAAGGAAGTATGCATCAGTAATTCCCTTTCAGATTTGATACTTCAACTAGTATTAACTTAAAAGTCCAAACGCAAGTCATTAAGCAAAAAAATGAAGAAAATGAAGAACAACCTTGCAGGGACAGTGATGAACAGAGAATGAGGACATTTGGGTTCAGTTGAGAACTCTTCCCTGACGGTTTAGCCCTCGGCAGTCTTTTGTTCCTCAGTTCCTTATCTATTTAATAAAGATATTAATACTTGACTAATTCAACTCCTTGCCTGCATGCACTTGGAAGGCCTCACAAAGCCTTTTGTAGTAGAATCTACCTCCTCTGGTATCTGTAAAACTTACAGCATAATAGAGGCCTGTTTTTTTCTGAAGACACAAAAATAGTTAAAACAGGGAATTGCAATCAGAACTTACATCTACCATAGAGCTGGTAGGAACTGCTGTTCAGTATCAACAATATAGGGCTATGCAATGGGTAGTGCTGAAGTTGGCCTTTCAGGGAGCTTGCAATTAAAGAGCTGACCTGTAAGAGACAATAAATATTGGGACAGCTATGACAAATCTAGTATTAAATATATATATATATATTTCCCTGAAGAAAAAAAAAAAAAGAAATTTTAAATACTGCAATTCATCACTGAGAAAAACAGTTTTGGAATTTCCTATTAAAAATATGAAAGAGTCTGAATAACAATGCTGAAAAGAAACGTGTCATATATTTACATATATGAGTTTTTAGGGTTTTTTTTTTAATACCTTTGCCTTTTCAATTTCTTATCCAGGTTTCTGGAAAAGAACGATGCTGATCAATTGAAATTTCTCGTTAGATGTGTGTATTCTTCCCGTGTTTATGTTTAAACAGTAAAACCTTAAGATTCAGATTTTTAAATTATTTTTGTGTGCCTAGCAAAACCTCGGATTTTTTCCTGGTTCTCGAATCAAAAACACTCAAGGCATTGCAGGTACAGGAACTTCTTATGTGTTCTATTTTTTAAGTACTTTTTTCTCAACTAGGAATAGTTGTTGCAAATATGGAAAGTATTTCCATTACTCAGCGTAACTGCTGTGATAATGTAGACACTTCAAGCTCTAATTCACATACTTTATCTAATGAAAGAGTTCCATGGATTGAAATTAAACACATATGTTTTCAACATCAGAGCCCTATTGAATAGTAATCTAAAAGGAAGGGAAATTACGTTCACTTCCTTTAGAATTCACAGACAACTAATTAAAGCTGTTATATGACTGTTTAAATGATGAGAAATGGCACTAAAGAAAGAGCTCTGTCCCAGTACATCATTGATAGAAATGTCTGCTAAAAACAATGATCATCATGAACAAAAGCCTCTTTCTCAAAGCTACACCTCCCTTAGAAAAGAATCAAATCTTCACACTATGTATGTGTTGTTATTTTGGGGATTAATGAAACAAACCTATTGCTGCTTTAGAGTACTGGATACATACTAAAGGTTATTATTCTCACACTTTCTAATATTTTCATTTCTTCCATAATGCACAAGCTAGTGAAAAAAAAAAAAAAAAAAACTTGTACATTGTATTCTAAAAATGGACTGTTCTTTATAATGTTCAATGAAGGAAATATTACTTCTTATGTAACACATATCCTAATAATATAGACATTTATAAGCAGAAAATATTGCATGGTGTAATAAAACTCACAAGTTCTAATGGCTCCTGTGACAATATATATCTATATTCTCTAGGAAGTTTGTTATAATTATCACTTCATCTTGCTTCTATACCCTGAAGATAAACATGTTTCTGGATCTAGTAAAGAGCTGAACATGATGTATTACTAAAAGAATGAAAATATGTAATGTATTAGGTAGTTTGGTAAGTCTCCTTGTACTTAATAATAGTGAATGCTTCTTTATGTTCAGTCATAATTTAAATGATGTTTGTTTTTGGTGAGTTTCCAGAGTTGTTGACAAGAATACCTAATAATATTAACAGAGTCGCATAAATAAATAAGGCAATGAATGTTTCTAGTAAAAATACACTCATCTTGGATTTAGAGACCACAAATAAAAGTAAACTTTGCATACTCTGATAATTCTTCCCTAACCATGTGTCTGTACAGTTGTATGATCTTCAAGAATGTAATTGACCTATTTTTCTTGTCCTAATTGCAAGACGAAAGGATACACATGGGTAAAACAAAAAATGATTTTGTTTAGAAGAGAAATACAAATTGTGCCTGAAGCCTAATAAATCTGTTGCCATGGCAATCAAAGGGACTGGTCTTACAAAATCTTTCCTAATTTATTCACATGAGTAGTTCTTACTCATATGAGTTGTCCCATTGATTGAAGTAGACCTGCTGATGTGAGGGGAGATTTGCAATAGGAAATTTGAGTTTAGTATGCAGTCCTTGTTCACATAAAGAGCTGGGAGACCATTTCCACAACTAAGAGCTTCTTCCACAAGGGAGGATTGGAAGATGACATCTACAAGTTATGTTATCCTTCCTCAGTTTTTCTTATTGGTTCTTATAATATTTGTGCACTTTAAATAGCACAATATAGAAAAAAATCTAATTTATTGTATGTGTATATATACTTTGAACCCTTATTCTTAAAATCAAGTCTAGCTTTTCTGAATGCTACCTGAAAACTGCTACACTATAGGAGCATATTTGCATCATCTCAGTTTCCTCCTGCTGTAGTGACATGAAAAGACTGCATTTCCATTCTCTCTTTAGAAATTACCTCATGAGGTCCCTTCACTACAAGGGAAGTATCAGTATCTCAGACAAAACTCAATTTTTGAATAGAATTTAAGCTCTTATACTAAGTCCATGGGAGCTGGTTTGGGCTGGCCGGTCTCAGAGTTTTGCTTTGGCTCTTTGCACCTGTCCCACTCTCTGAACCTGCAGTCAGGACTTCATCACCTCTTTCCACAGCTGGAGAGCCCATGACAACTGCCACTCAAACCTGCTCCTCAGCATTTCATCTCCTGTCAAATCCAGTAGGACTTGATGGAGATCACCTCAGGGCAGGGGCAGGCCTTCACCTTGGTTTGCTCCTCAAGGGGCAGCCACCCCTCTTCAAACTCACTGATCAACCAAAACAGAGAAGAAAATATACATATATTTACCATCAGCACTCTTTTATTTTTCATTCTATCCTACGCTTTTGAAACAGGAATCCAAAGAAACTAGGCTTTCTTGAAAGCTAAGATGTTCTTCTGTCTCAGTACACTCACTTTATAATTCCTGATCTGCTTGGCAATTTCCAGATAATGGCCATAAGTTATAGTGAGTTGAGTATTTAGTTAATACTATCACTTTGCACTTACTTACCACCTCTCATCCATATTACAAGCAAAATCTTACAACATTCACTGAATTCATTTATAATTGTTCCCAATACGCAAGCTAGTAAATGACAGAAATTACCTGATACAAGACCACATCACAGTAGGTTTTCTTACTTTTACTGTGACTTAGGTCATCAAAAGTAACATTGTCAAAATTCATATTGGTCATTTTTTTGGCGTTCTGGTGTGTAAAAGGATTTTCCTCCCTGTGTATTTAAAACAGCATCCAATTCTGCATCTGATACCTGTTCCCCACAGAGGGTAAATATTTTGTACCTGCAGATCTCACCTTAGGTAGCAGACATTGTAAAGCCTTCTATAGCTTCTTACCCAGATAATATAAATTCATTAATGTTTCTGTGTTTCTACAGGACCTATTTTCCTTATTTTTCCCTTCTAGCAGTCAGTACACAACTGAGGTGCAGGGAAAGTGTAGCACCATAACCCCAGAGAGACAGAGACAGAGAGGAAGGGGAGGCAGAAGAAGGGGAATAGAGGGAGGAAAAGAGAAATATCAGAGCAAATTCCAAAACATCCCCTTTAGCCTGGAAATATACCAGTGCTCCAGTGCAAGTGCAGCTGATAACATAGGTATGCACAAACACGCACACGCAAACACACAGAGCCAAAAAGCAAGAAAAATGACAGAAATGATCTTACAAAGCTACTGCAGTAATCAGGACACTTGCTCCTGGAAAACAACCACACTAACAAGCCTTCTTTTGTTAGCTTTTTATATTTTTTCAATTTTCGTTTGGTTATTGGTGGCATTTTCAGCTCTCACCGTTGCAGAAATATTATTATTAAGGAAAAAAAAAAGGCCTTACCATGCAGTGCATCAGGAAGAGATGAGAAGCACAGAGCATGCTGCAGAGATCAAGCTCAGCATGGCACTCAGATATCCTGTGGAACTGAAGAAAATTGTCCAACCCATTCTTCCAAACAAAGCAGACAAGTTTTCTCTAGGCTTGAATTTTTCACCAGAAGTCAGATCTTTAAAGTGCATTATATTTCCTTCTTTGGGAGATATATTTCCTCCAGTTAAGTTTCAGCTCCGCAATGCCATTTCCAATCAGCTTGAAGAAGTTCTTCATTCCCAGATTCGTGGCGTCATCAGAGGGACTCCAAAGACAATCAAATAAATAAAGAAAGAAAGAAAAAGAAAAAGAAAAGAATACCTTATTGAAGTCCTGAAATTGCTATGCTGAAAAAGGAAAAAAAGACCAGCTCCTCATTTATTCTATTGTCTATGTGTTTCACAACCACCAGTACTATCTCCTCAGTCTCAGATATGCAGTGCTGATTACCTGTAATAAAGGAGAGACGAAAACTTTCCCAATTCACACATGATGCCTTTTCAATACCACCACTCAACTGTGTGTTACCAAGCAACTCTCCTCATCCAGAAGAATCATTTTAACCATCTGACTAAAGCATCATCTGTCCCTTTCCCTCCCCAACAAGCACAAATGTTAAACTAGAAGAGCGCTGGAAAAAGATTGACAAATAACCCCATAATACAGATGAGATCTAAAGGCAAAACCCTCGAAGCAGTGGAGTTCTGAAGCAAGGAGCTGCTTTGCCTGAAGGATTTGGGAAGCCAAAAAAAAAAAAAAAAAAGATAACAATAGCTAACGGGAGGTTGAAGGGGATGAGGTGGCAGTGAAGGGGTGTCAGACTCGGGTGGGATCCTGAATTACCCTCAGCCTTCTGCCTTCTCGCTGACAGCAGCTCGGGCTTCCCCTGCACTTTCTGCAAAGCATATTAATTGATCCTTGTTGCTGAGCAACTAACTCTGGGGAGCCACACCGACAGCTCTGCACGGCTTCAGCGGCGGCAGCGGAGAGGGGATGCTCTCCTCGCCCGCCTCCTCCTGCCGCTCCTTCCGGGCACTCTGCTCTCCTCAGGAATCTCCCAGCCGCCCCCCGGGGACGCTCTGCTAGGAGAGGGCGAAACCCGCTAATGCAGCAAGGAGCAGAGGGTGGCTGTCCCCGCCTTGCGCAGACCCGAGCCGGGCCGGGGCAGCCCTGGGAACCCCCGGCACAGCTGGAGCGGGCGGTGCTTCCCTGCTGGAAAGCGACGCTGGTTAACCCTCTGGTTCTCCAGGCGGAGATGGAATTACAGTGAGCGGCTCCCAGAGTTGTGCCAGTGGATGGGTCTAACAACGCCCGCATAAGCACTGTGACAGCAGGGCGAATGCGCTACTGTTTCTGACCTCTTCAGCATTTTGTCTTCAGACAGAGCAGATGTTCCTGTGACCAAAAGGGTACAGGTTAAGCCCGAGCTGCTATCCAGAGGAATTGCCTGGATGTGTGTCTCTGAGGCTGCGAAATGGAGCTCTCTGACACAACACTTTCCACTGCTTTCTCTGATGTTGTGTTTAATTTGCTCATAGGAGAGAAAAGTAGCAATGACACCATTTAGTTTTGTCCTATAAAAGAGACAGAATAACAGGTGCTGGCTCTGAGGGACTCCTCTTAGAGCTCTAAAGAATTCCTGCAATGCCAAGTAGACAGATCCTGACCACTGCAGTTTGTGGCAGGGTTTCAGCTTACTGCTGTGCTTGAGAGCCTGAAAAAATCTCTGAAACAACAGTTTCCAAAGCAAGCCATTGCTCTTGTGCTTTCATATTGGATAAATCCTTAGACAGATCATGGCATTTGCTCAGCACCAACTAAGCTGTCTTCTCATTGACCAAGTAAGATGTAAGAAATGAAAAGACCTCAAAATTTCTCTCCCTGGGATTTGGTACTAAGTGTAACATCAGATCCTGGCCAAACTACTCAAGTGTGATTACTGTCAAAGAACTGAGCTACATCAGCTCTTTATTTCGGTTATAGTGATAGGACAAGCTAAAGGGCAAGGTCCTGAGAAATGTCTTAGCTGGCAGTCACATAAATAGATGACTCTCCCCTTGAAAAATTCAACCTGCATCTTGTGTGCTATCCAAATGGCAATAGCTGGGTCTTGGTGAAAGGGGAACAAGTTATCTCAGGCAAAAGAGTAACATTTCTGATAGTAGTTTAACCCCACCATGCTGCTTTCATACTGCTTTCATACATTATAAAGCAAGATCTATAGTTTGGCTGCATTTTCTCAGAAGTACAAGATGTTTTCTTGAATATTCAAATCTCAGAAAGGGCCATTAGATCAGTTAGCAGAGCTGCTATATGATGCAGATCACAGAACATTTTGAGTTTATTCAATATGTCTACGTATACAAGTATTAATTTCATCCTCCCTGGCACAGCTTACAGAGAAATATGGGAATTTCAGTATTGATTTATTAAATGAAGGTCATTCAGACTCCTAGCAAGAAGATACAGAAGGGTAAGGAAAAGATCCTATCGTTCACCTACACCCATGTAATTCTGTGATTCTGATTCTGTGATTCCATGATGTAAATACTTCTTCTTCTACATTACCACAGCATACTAACCACAGGTTAAAAACACTGAGTTAACATAATAAACACAGACTGTTCCTGATTTATATGATCACTGATTTAAGCGATTAATTTGGCTTCATTCACTGCCTTTTAATCACCTCTAACACTTTGGACATTACTTCTGACCATTTCTCATAGTAACTCCTCTTTGTTGCTGGGTAGGAATAAATCCAGAAAGGTTTCCCATAGCAATGGTTGATGTAAATAATGTATTTTGTTATGCGTCACTGCTCATATCTGACAATGCTTCCTTTAGCCCATAAGTTTACATGCCTGCAACGAAGGAATAGCAAAAAGGAGGGCTTGAGAGAGAGTTAACCCATCTCTGTCTCACCACAGGATCCATCAACCACGTACTAGTCTTAGGAAATGACTTTCAAACCAGTGCTTACAAGTCTCATTCTGGAATCTCCATGGTTTTGAAAGGCAATTTATTCCAGTGCCTTGCTACTGTAACTATAAAAAGAGTATTTCTAAGCTCCATTGCTGCAAAGTTAAACACAATATTTCTTGTCCTATTTGCAAAGATCAATTCCACCTGGCAACTAGTTTTTATGTATTTAAAATTCACTATCTCTTCTCAGTCTCTTCCCTTTCTAGATTAAAAACTTCAATCTGCTTTTACTCATCTGTCTCTCTTTGTAGGGAGTACTTTGTCACATACTGACAACTGGACAGTAAGTATGAAATTATTTGTTTATAGGGTTGAATGTAAATGCCTGTAAAATGAAAAGGAACCAAAGTTAGATTGTTTGGTTCAGGAACTGAGTTGTATGGTGTAGAAACAAAGGGGAACTGTTTCATCTGGCTCCTGTGGTAGGATTACAAACTGTCTCAGTGCTCCTTTTTCCTTTTCTGGTCAAAATGGGGTTACAGAACAGAGAAGGTGAAATACCTCCGTGGATCGTATACCTGACAGGACAGACAAATCCTTCCAATTTGGGGAAGAAGATCACTTAAAAGAACAAGAAAAAATAAAGAGACATTCATTTGAATTTATTTAATCGTTTTTGAAATATTAGAAAAGAGAAGTTAGCAATACCTGAGAAATAGAGAAATGCATAGAGAAGAGATTCAAGGAGAGCATATGCTCAGCAAGGTTGCAAGCCTGGAAAAGCTATGAATGTTTAGACTCAGTCAACAGAGAAAGCTGGAGAGATTTCCCAAATTCTTACAAAGAAATTGTGTTTACATAAACATTTTTTCACCATATACGTAGCAAAGACAGATTTATTTGAACATAAGCTGTGATTGTTTCTTCTTTTCCCCATTTACCATCATTCATATTAGTGCCCCTTTTATTCTCATCTGTGAAATCTTTAAAAACTCTGAAAACAAATTATCAATACCTTAATGTACCTTGTTTTGTACTTAATTTTTGACAGGAGGAATACCAAACAGTGCTGAAGTACTGTACTGGAGTACATTTCATAAAAAGTGCTAGGCAAGGGCAACTGAAGGACAAAGCAATAATATCAAACAACCAGAGATAGGAAATTAGTCAATAACTGCTGATTTCAAAACAAAAGCAAACTGGCATCAGATTAGTAACAGAAATGTTGGCAGAGGGGGGCTTGGGGGTGTAAACATTTGTGTAATTGTTTTTATGTTACTGTTTATAAAATGCAAAGTTGTTGAGATAAAATTCAGTGCATTACAGAAAGCAAGTATAACATCTCTTTCACTTATGCAAACCTTGAGTTTCATCTCATATAAGTGCTTTTATTATACATTTAAAAGTTTGACTAATGCATATGTTCAGTCCCTATTTCATTCTCTGCTTATCTTTTTCCCACTTTTCTGTCCTTTCAACTGTACTGTTACCCTCTGTGAAAATGAGTGTCCTATGAGCCTAATAATCAAAGAGAGCAAGCCAGGACCCAGTCACCCCTGGGAGCTGCTTCTTGGGGGCAGTCTTGCAGGCCGTCCTATGGGCTCTCAGCTGAGTGTCAGGGGAAGCCTCCTCCCCAATTCACTCAGATGCTGCCACTGGAAGCAAGTGAAAGAGCACTTTTACCAAAACACTGGCCTTCATCCCAATCAAATACTTGATATAAACTGTTCCTTTGCTGATTACAAGTTGCACCTTCTCCAGTAGCAGCCATCTGAGAACGGAAATACAATTTTAAAAGCAATGCTGTCTATAAAGGATACAGTAATTTTAACATAATTGCAAAGATATTAGCAGATCTTGGAAATTATTGAGTATGAAATAAAAAGCATAATTCAATTATGTTCTAAATTTTAATTAAGAGCTCATGAAGATGACTTGCTAATAAATTTTCTGGAAATTTTTCTTCAATTTCCTTTCAATTTCCTGTGTCTCAATTACTATTCAGTCAATTGCAACACAAACAATGGAATTGATTTCTTGCCTTTTTAGTTTAAATATCATGTAATGCATGCATGAGAATTTGAGCTTCTGTGAATGCAATTTCAGATCATTATCAGCAACTAATTAATCTAGCCAAAAGGAGAATACCTTATTTCAAAACTAGTCCCCAGATGCATGACAAAACAGACACATGGTTCTATTTATTTATATTATACATAGCATTCCTAAAACGTCTTTCAAGCATCCATTCAATATGATATTACAATTATCATTTTATCATTACTTGATTACTACAATCATTTTTAATATCTTATATGCAACTGATCTCATTTTTCTGTACTTCTCATCTGTGCAAATCTGACTAGGATGTCATAGCTGGCAAAACTTGTATCAGTAAGAAAATGGTACAGCCAATGGTAAGCACAGTCAGTAAAATACAAAACATTTGAATCTGTTCTTCTTCCTTTTTAAATGAATGCCATTTTACTCCAATTTAACCTCTAACAGAATAACGGAAGATAGAAGGCCACAGACTGTGGTCACTAATTGTTAGGTTTGCTCATACATTCACAAGTTATTTGGAAATAAATTTTACTGGATCTAATTCTATTGGTTAGTCTGTGATTGGACTAGGTGATCTTAGTGCCCTTTCCCACCTTAACAATTCTGTGATTCTACTTTCACTAACAGAAAAGTAAACATCCTACATTTGCTGATTTGGATTATATTTTCCATCAGCATAGCTAGTAGCAGTAGATACACAGCAATAACCCCCTGTTGCAGAGTTAGCTGCTGTTTAAATTCACCACGTACTAGTAGTGTCACACTCCCTTCCTTACGTCACCTTAGGACTAAAAATAGCATTTCAATGTATCTGTATCAAAAATGCATGCCCGTAAATGCAGATTCCTAGCAAGTAGCACAGCCATATTCACTGCAGGAAATACACACAACGAATATCCTTTTGTGCTTTAGAAAAAGCAAAACCTGTTTTGAAATGAATTTCTTACCACCCAAGTGGAATTCAAATAAGTAATCTCAACAGATATAAAAAGTGATATCTTGACCTAAAATATGGGGGGGAGAGGGGGGTCGAGAGCAAGAAACAGTGGTACCTATTACATCTTTTGGGGCGGTCATCAATACTGAACCCAGATTACACACAATAGCAAATGGCCTGGTCCTCCTTCCTCTAACATGGGTAGCAAAGCCCATGGGTTTTCTATGGAAAGAGGACCAGTTCTGTGCTGAGAACACTA